TGATAAGCCATTGCTGTAGTTCACCATTACTCGCAAAATAAGTTAATTTTGAAGTTTATTTTCATTTTTGATGTTTTATTTATTATAGCTTAGAATTTTTATATACATTTTACATAAAAAACCAATCAATGTTCAAAAAAAACTTGTTGAATCAATATGTTATACAGTATGACACTCTTTTTGAGCCTGAATACTGAAAAGTTTTATTTGTTAGAAACTGTTTGCAATGATGTTCACAAATTTTATACCTTCAGAGCCATTACTATATTTGTATTAACAATTAGCTATATTTGAAATAAATTATGATATTTGTGCTGAATATACAGTATGGTGTTGTTATCCACACTTTTTAGTTATCAGAGTTATAAGTGGTCTGTGCTGTGGGACGGGTGTAGTGCCCGCAGTCAATGGTCTGAAGAATATGTCGTTCGTGAAGAAAATGTTGAATCCATGCTTGGAATATATGACGTCCTGTTCCGGCTGTACGTCTTCCTCCCTCTCCAGTTCCCCGTAATTAATAGTACTTTTGCTCGAAACAGTGGTCTTAAGAGTGGTGTTTCTAATTGTGGTCAGTGGTGTCGGTGTTGTTGAGGTGGTAGTGGTTAGCGTTTTATTGGTTGACCGGACAGTTAGCATGGATTCCGTCTTGGAAGTGGTTTTCATATGAGTGGTCGATGTGAAGGAATTTTGAGTTTTATCAATCGATTTACTATGAGTTGAGTTTTTAGTAGAGGTTTTGAATTTTGTGTGTTCTTTGAATAAGTTTGTCATCAACCGTTTGGTTGTTGTCCTCACGGGTCTTGTGGATCTAATCGATGGTATTTTTGATCTCTTAAAATTAGAAGTAGTTGCCGATTGAGAGCTGGTAGACGATTGGTTAGGAATGGTTAAGTGGACATGTATGTCTGTTGAACTATTAAATTCTTGATTACTTGTAATCAATGGCTTAATAGTGGAAAAAGTGGTGGGTTTTTGGTTCAATATAGGGGTTGATTTGATGGTCAAAGTGGTTATGGGACTGGTTTTCGAGGAATTTTTAGTTTCCATTTGTTTTTCAATAAATATATTATTTGTTTCATTTGCTTTAATCTTCACAATTGATGGCGAATTTGTATGAATTTCATGTCTTATTGAGTCAATGGTATGTAAAATATCTTTAGCTTTTGTATTGCCATCACTTCGACGACAATTACATTTCGTGTGATTCTTAAACTTAAGAATTTCTATATTTCTATTGAAAAAGTTATTTATTAATTACTGTATAAGAATATTCCGTACATTTCCATTAATGAGTTAATCCTTACCTTTCAGTAATCCCTTCATCAGATTTAATGAGTGTATAAAACCCGATATCCACCTCCTGTTCCTCACTGGCCATACACGTGTGTCGTGGGTTTGGACAGCAGGCAAACTGGTCTGAACACCGGTAGAGAATGGTAGCCCGCGGTAAATACAGCTTATCTTTGGTGTCATTCACATAGACGACTGTAGGCCGGGGTGTTTCGCACCGACCGTTGATCGCGATCTCCACCAAAGTATTCTTAACCCTATCGTGAAGTAATACAAACGAATCGATTTCCGATTCATTCAAAGTCTGAACAAATTTTGTTAAACATTTCAGGATTAATAAAAATGTAGTTATTTTTGAGTTTTTAATTATTAAAAACATTTTCGTACAAAATATTTGACTCTTTGAACCCAAGTTTGTTTTCATAAATTAAAATGACTTACAATTTTGATTGCAATTAATTTTTATGATTGAATGCAAACGTTGACACTGAAGTAATTGTATTTTTTGTTTTTATCAATACTTCTGTGTAAGTTCAATGCCATTGTTAGAAAAATATTAAATTTAGATAACATCTTGTTATTTAGAGATTGAGTGAAAATGTTTATTTTTAGAACACATTTAATTAAAAAATTAATTATTTAAAAATCAATTAATGTATTAAAATCATAGAATTGGGAGAAAGAAAGAACCTTGCTAAGAAAGAACCAATACTGTACAGTAATTTAGCATTTTAGTATTTTGTAATGAATAAAGTTTAGGTATTTATTTTTTACAGAGATTATTATGGCATTCAGTCAAGAATTATAGAAAAAACAAGTTTATGTATAAAGAAATAGTAATTCATTTTAATCAGATGGAGAAATACCTTAACATTGAAATTTTAAAATAAAAGTTGAATAATTTATTTGAATAGAATTGAACAAAAATTTCTTGATTCAAGATTCAAATTAAGTTATTAGTGAAAAAAAATTATAATTAGAAAATTTATTAAAGAAGTTAAAATACATTGCGATTGTATTATGTGATAATTTGACTGTCATTTTTCACATAATTTTTATATTTACATATAAATAGTATATTTTACTTGTATGTCCTTCACTACCGCGATTCATGTCTCTAACTATAACTTTAGATATAAACATTTGAAATAATAAAAAATATTGAGACAAAAATACAATAATTACTTTATTAGACAACATATGAACAAACAATTAAATGAAGAAATTATTAGATATTCATTAATTCTTTTCAATTTTATTATATAACCTTCACTTTTTATATCTTATAATTATACGAAATTAATGGCAAATCTAATTATATATATTTAGCTATAGTTAACTACCGGTGCGAATACAGGTAAACAATAGGCACTCGTATATCCCTTTATGTGTCACAACATGTGAGGAATCAGATCTTACATTAACTATAAATTCTTCACTCATTTGTAATTTACAAACAAATGTGAAGTTTGGTGTCTTTTAAGAGAAAAACATGATTTTATGAAATAAATACATGTATTCATTATTCTGTCAATTGGTTTCAGAATAATTTTGTATTACTGTATAAAATGCTTATAAAGTATATGCGAAATGTTTTATTTGCAACACTGGTATTGACTTTTATGATAAAGTCAATTATAGCGGGTTGTATGAGCGCCAGGAGTATGGCATCGGATGCGGACTGTTATCTAAACCATTTGGCCCGAGAAAATGTCATGAGAATGGGTTTGGATGGTGGGTGCGAAGCCCCTCGACAACAGATTGTATACCCCGATGACTCCAACAAAGTATATATGCCCAGAGGTCTGAATATTATCTTATATCCCAAACAAACTTAATGGTAGAATTAATTTATATATTCTTGTATAAATATTAGTAATAATAAGAATAATAATATAATCTATTGTATAATACATGGTGTAATAGTTTTGCAAAAAGTTGTATCAATGATATACTAATAATGGTGTGAATTGTATTGAAAGGGACTCTACTATTCCGGTGTAACGATCAGTCGGGTTGTTGTCCACAGAAAGAGCACTCGTGTCAACCCCTACAAGAGGACGAGCTTCGGGTGGCCTTCTATAGCATCGACTGCATGGGTGGTGACAGTCGTCCCACTCCTGAGTACGTGATTATGAAGAACCACACGAAGTGCGGGTGTTTTCCCCGACAGGACAACGGCTTTGATTCGGCGCAAAGATATCAGTCGAGTGTCTGCAGTGGCGGTCAGAGCAGACAAATGCGAGCTTATAGTCAACCGCAACAGTATCCCAGTTATCAGGGTTATGGACAACAGTCCAGTTATGGTGGCGGACAATACGGCGGTCAGTCGTATGGGTCACAATCGAGGGGCAGCTCTCCCTGTGCTAACTCCATGTCCAGTCGACCACTAGTTGATGGACAGGTAGTTCGGGGAACTATTAGACTGACTGTGGGTCCCAAAGGGTTTATGTCCCAAAGCCAACAACAACAGCCCTGTCCTTATGGTTAAGGCATTCCTCCAGAACACCACCTTTTTTGCGATCATATTCTTAGAGCGTTTCCGATATTCTTGAATGCATTGAATTTAAATAAAGCAAACTTTTTATAAATTAATTTAACTAAACACTAAAATGCATACACTTTTGCAATAAAAATTAATATTAGATTAAATAAACTAATTAAAACCTAAAAGTAACTGTATCAAAAAAAGTATATTTAAATAAAACTTTAATTATGAGTAAAAAGTTTAAGAATTTCGAAAAATGAACTGGATATTAAATATTAAAAACTTGATGAAAAAGCGCTCTCTAACGGTAACTCTCCGTAACACCGACCATATGTTGCAAAACTTTTAAATCAGTGGTAATAAATAACGTGCGATAAATACGTGTTGTAAAAGTCATAAAATTGCTCAAAAATAGCCGTAAATGTATGGAAAAGGCGCCAAAAAGTGTCTACAAGTGATGGCACATAAGGGCACGTAATATATGGCGAGAAAAGCATTGCATTTGCAAATCATATTAAAAAGTGAGGCAACGATTGAACGCATGAATCAGTGATTGAGTGACAAAATTGAGCCAAAAGTGGGTTTCGTTTGATCCCAAGCTATCACTACTCGACTGATCCATTGATAGCATCAGTTGTGGCCACACGAAAGCGGGACGACATGTCTGGAGAGGGTGGCGATGGCGGGGATGAGGAGATGAGACGGAAGAAGCTGAAGGAGGCCGAGGAGAAGGCGGGCATTACTCTGGACTTCTTCGCCGAGTATATGAAGATCGATGGCAACCCTCAGGCCCTGATGGACACGAAGCCCAACCTCTACGGTAAGCCCAACTGGAACTGGTATACTGAAGCCGTCAAGAAGGAGGAGAAGGTGGACGACACCAACGATAGGTATGTGCGGACGAGACGGTGGCCCACGAGTTGGTATCACTGTCGCTGATTGTGTCCACTCTTGACTCATGTGTTGTTTCCATGTCTTATGCGTTCAGTAAGTATTCGGGGAAACAGTACGTGAAGGACGTCAAGGAGAAGGAGAAGCAACGAGTGATGGTATGAGACACACGTTCGGCCACTCATTGTGGTCACTGTTAGTGATGATTGTATTGATGGTCTGATTTTGATGATAACGACAGCAACTGCAGAGGGAGGAGGCGTCGACCCCCGAGGCGTCGGGTTCGGGCCGAAACAGTCCGACGCCGAGCGCCTCCACCAATAGACTGCATAAGAGGGCGTCCAACATATCGTTGTCGACACACTTGGGAAGTGTTGGCACATTCGTGCCGCAAACCATTGTGGAGGACGTGGACATGACTCAAGTGAAGGACCAGTACTTCGCCCAAAACCGGCCCAAACGAGCGCCGCTTCCCATCAGTGGCTTCGAGAGGGACATCATCGACGCGATTGAAGTGAACCGAGTGGTGATCATCGAAGGGGCCACCGGTTGCGGGAAGACTACACAAGTGCCGCAATATATCGCCGATGAATGCGCCCAAAAGGGCATTCCCTTCAATATAGTGGTCACTCAACCGCGACGTATAGCCGCCAAATCCATCAGCGCTCGGGTGGCCGATGAGAGGGGCTGGCAGTTGGGCACTATGGTTGGCTACCAGATAGGTATTGTATACCCCTTGGAGTGCATGCATTGTCTTATGGTTGTGTCCATCGATGGTAGGAATGGATAAGAGTTGTGTGAATGAAGACACGCGTATCCTCTACTGCACCACTGGTGTGCTTCTGCAGCGTCTGATTGGCAACAAAAAGTTGGACAACTATTCCCATATAGTGATCGATGAGGTGCACGAGAGGTCCATCGACACGGACCTCCTGTTGCTGGTCATCAAGAAGTTGATGGCGTCGAAGAGCGTGTCCGTCAAAATCATACTCATGTCCGCCACGTTTGATGTCTCGCAACTCCAGGAGTACTTCACGCTTCCGATATATGACGGCGAAGATATGGTACAGCAGGTGATCCCGAAGCACATCCAGATCACGGAACGGCCCAAGAAGTTGCACGTCTACTACATGAACCAAATCAAAAAGGATCTCAATTTCCCGTACCGCCCGGGGCCCAGAGATGTCCGCTACAGAACTGATCCGGACATCGATAGGAATACGCCGCACGTATCGGACGACGCCATGGCTATAGCCGTGCATATGATGGAGGAGGGCATCAAAGACATCGAAGGTTTGTGTGTCAACTGTTTTGGTATTCATGGAGTGTCTTAAGTGTGTTTTGAATGGTACGATAGGTCCGGACGCCATCACCAGAGGCGCTGTCCTGATATTCCTCCCCGGTTTGGAAGAGATCATTGAACTGAAGGCCCGTTTGGAGCGCAGCAAAGAGTGCAAAGCACAGCACTGGAAGATATATCCCTTACACTCATCCATACCTCTGGACAAACAGAACGCCATATTCACGAAGAGCGCCCGCACTGAGCGTAAAGTGATTTTAGCCACGAATATAGCCGAGAGCTCCATAACGGTGCCGGACGTGTCGTTTGTCATTGACTTCTGCCTCACCAAGTCGTTGGTATGCGACATCGAGACACACATACCGGTGCTGCGTCTGGAATGGGCCTCCAAAGCCAACTGCGATCAGAGGGCCGGTCGCGCGGGTCGTGTGACCGAAGGCCGGGTGTATCGTCTGGTGGAGGAGTCGTTCTACAAGAACCAGATGATGCCGTACACGGAGCCAGAGCTGACCCGTTCCCCACTTGATCTGTCTATACTTCGCGTGAAAATGCTGGACATGGGTCCCCCCAAAGAGCTGTTGGGTTTGGCGCTGAATCCGCCCGATTTGGCCGATATCTACCATTCCGTGCTTCAGCTCAAACAAGTCGGCGCCTTCGCTGTGAAGGTCACTAAAGGCCAGCAAGTCTTCTATGACGAAGAGGACGGGGATATCACGACATTGGGACGCATTATGTCTAACCTCCCGATCGACATACGTTTGGGTAAACTTGTGATTATGGGTCACGTGTTTGACTGCCTCGAGGACTGTATTATTATCGCCGCGTGTCTGTCCACTCAGGGTATGCATTGAATGTGATTTTCATTGAACGCAATGTTTATGTGATTTATTGTTTGCCTCCGAAGGGATGTTCCGCAAAGACTTTGATCAGGGATTGAATGCCTATAAGTCTCGGCTCGCGTGGGCCGACCGTTCGTTCAGCGACGGCATCGCATACCTGAACGCCTATAAGATGTATAAGAAGTTTGATCCCGAGTTCCAGGAGAACCGGCAAATGGCGGCCGAGTGGTGTCGACAGAACTTTCTACAACACAAACGCATCCTTGAAGTCGATTACATGTACGGCGAACTCATGAGTCGTTTGGCGCGCGAACTCATTGTTATCCCTAACCGCCCGAACCTTCGCCGCAATCGACACGAAGAGGAACTCATACTTAAAGTAATTGATTGTATTTTTTGCGTGTATTCACTAGAGTTGTCATTAATCTGTGGTTTAATTAGGTTGTGATGTGCGCCGCCTTTTATCCCAATTACTTCACTCGCAATGATATCGATCTGAAGAACATTCAGCGAGAGATCAGCACCAAAGACCCGCGCACTACGGTAGCCATCGGCGGTTTGCCCCCCAATGAGGGCCCCCTCTATGGCGCCGCCATTAAGGAGGTGTTTGCCGTCTGTGCCAAACGTATTGACATCGACTTCGAAGACACCAAAGCGTACCTCACGTTCGTCGATGAAAGACATCCCTTAAGTGACGCGTTTGATAACCACATCCCATCTCATCTGAAACGCGAGGCGTTTGGCGGATCCGTGTCCTCAATGTCCTGCAAGTCTGAGTCGAGGGCTGAGTCGAGGGCTGAGACCCCCCTCTCGATCACAACAGACACGTCGATGAGTGTAAGCAGTAATACCACTGCAATGAGTCTCAAGAAACGGGAGGCCAAGGAGACGACTGTCAAGACTGCGGTCTATGTGGCGCTCGCTATGAAAGGCCACCGAATCGACAAAGAGATCCCAAAACTGAACGCAAATACCACTAAGACTGAGATCCAGAGACTGGAAAAGTAGTTACTTTTCATGATTACTGTTTGTTTTGAATTGTTTTTTAAATGATATTTTTGTCCACAGATTTCAAAACGAAGTCCAGAGCGAAGTGAGCGTAGCGTTCCGTTCGCACCGCGTGTCAGTACCCCATCATATGCCGCGCCTAAAGCTGGAGAAGCTGCCGATGCCGGCGCTCGACTGCTCGCAGATTCCCATCCGTATCACTCACGTGGAGAACCCGTCACTGTTTTACGCGCAATACGCCAACAAGTTTACGGACAGCCATCTGAACCAATTGTCCGGTATATTGAGCTACGACTTGAACTTCCGGAGCTGCGAGTCAGAGACCACGCGAATCGGCGATATAGTGATTGCCCCCTATTTCGACTCCATGGGCGCCAAAATGCACGGCAGGGGTCGCGTTGATAGCATCGAATACAGGGCCGGAACCAAAGAGATTGATTCGGTCTGTTGTTTGGGTTTTTGGTTCACTTGTTTTGGTGACTAATTTGTATGTTTTGTTTGATTATCATATCAGATGCGAGTGTTTTATTTGGATTATGGTTTCTGTCGAGTGTTTGATAACATCCGCGAAGTGTCTGCAGTGACCACGAGAACCAATACAGAGTTGACGTCAATACCGCCGCTGGCCTTACAGTGCGCTCTCTCGCAAGTCAACCCGTCGGCCATCAGCTGTTTCGACAGTAGTTGGTCTAAAAGGGCTATCGATTACTTCAAGAAGTATGTCAGCAAACGCCACACATTCACCGGTATGTCATGAGATAGTTGTCTAATATGTTGACCACTAATCTGA